ACCCCACACACACTCTGGCACGCCCTGACAGGCCAGCCACCCACTTCTTGTCCCCCACCCTCCTCCATTCCCCCCAGCCCTTATCCAGGGACCTCGTTGTGATTCTGGGAACACTGGGCCTCCCCCCAACCCGAGGCGTGGGGGAGAGGCCTGGCTCGGGTCTCTGCTTTCCTCCCCTGCCCGCCCCCTCCAATCCTAAGACCTGGCACTTCCTCCCCTAACATCCCCCCTCCTCCTCGCTCCCTAGCTGCCTTCTGGTTGTTGGCCACTTCCTCCAGGAGGCTAGCCAGCCCTTGCTGGGGTGTGGGCAGGGTTGCTTTTCTCATCCCATCTTCCCTCGTTGAGGGGCACCCCAGATCTAAGTGACGCCCGGCGCTCCCTTCCCAGCCCCCAAGACCTGGTGGCTGGGAAAGTCCCCCTTGCTTGTCCCCCGAGCTGACAGGGATTCCCTCCGGCCTCCAGGAAAACCGGACAGAGAGGAAGGAGAGGCTTGGGGGGGGGGGTGCAGAGGGAGGCTGGGACCCCTCCCCACCCAGCCACGGCGTGGGGAAGGGGAGTGGCTGGCGGGCTCTCTCTCATGGCTCCCCAGCTTCCTCCCGCCAAGCAGCCTGCCTGTCCACACCCAGGGGTAGGGACGCGAGGCTGGGTGCTCCGACTTGTGTATTCTCGCCCCAGCCTGTCCCGCTGGCTGAGTCATGGGCAGCCCCCGGCCCGGTTTCCTGGTGAGGGCCCCTGCCGGTCATTAGGGCCAGGAGGAGAAGAAGGAGGGGGAGAAGGAGGGTCATTTTTGGGGCTATTTATAAGAAGGAGAAGTCTCTGGTACCAAGACCAAAAGCCCCATTGAGACCTGTGGGTGGGGGGTGGGGGTGGGTGAACTTCCTCCTTATCCTGTCCCCCCAACCCCACCCTGCCCTGCCTCCCCCTGCCTGGAGGCATGGGTTGGGGGGATAGCCCGATGCTGGTCTGCAGCCCGAAAAGGCTTGTGCACCCAGGCTGGCTGGCAGGAGAAGGGAGGAGGGGGAGGGGAGAGGCGCTCCCCCTCACGCCCTCCTCACCCTGGGCAGGCCTGGCGCCAGTGGGGCGGCTTGAGGGGGTGGTGCCCAGGCCACAAAGGTGAGACTGGTAGGGGCCTGGAACCGGCTGTACCAGCTAGGCTGGGCCCCCGCCCTTTTCCTCCTCCCTGGCTGGGCCTGATCCCCACTCCCTGCTCCAGCACCCAAGACCAAGTACAGTGAGAAGGGGGACCCCAACTCCTCTCCCCCCACCAGGCTGGCCTAGCCACCACCACCACCACCCAGGGCGACTCACTATCTGTGCCCAAGGACAGGTATACCCATGGCCACAGCTCCAGCAGCATTCAGGATACAGTTGGCGCTGCCTAAGGACCCCTAAGGTTGTCACCGTCCCTGCCCAGACGGGCCAGCTGGAGTCAGGCATGCTGCAGTGGACAGCTTGGCTCCGGGGTACTTGGAGCTGGCTAGCGGGTGGACACCAGACCGGGCAGCTGTTTGTAACCTATGAGCTGGGTCCCCCCCACCCCCGGGCATCTGCGGAAGCCGCCAGTGACAGCTAGCCACTGGAGCCCAGGCAGCAGCGCCTGGCCCACGGGCAAGAGCCTGGTTTAAGTGTTGGCTATTAAAATAATCATTGTTCTTTCTCAGCCTGCCCACCTTCACCCTGCCTGGGACTCTGCCTGTCGGCGCCATGACACGCTCACCCTTGGCTGGCCGGCTGGGTTGGGGGTGTCTGCCATTTCTCCCTGCCCTAGCCCTTTGCCCCTATGACATCCCCTCCACACACACACACACACACACACACACACCCTCCTGCCTGGGCCAGTCCCTGCCCTCCCCCTCGGCCGCCGGTGGCTCTCTCTGGGACTCCCTCTTGGCATGGTCAGCTTCAGCCGCTGGCTGGGGCTGGCTGAGTCACTGTGGCTTCCCAGCCCCAGCCTGGCCCAGCCCGTGGGACCTGCAGGTTGGCTTCCCAAGGTGCTTGCCCTGTGGCCGGACCGTGCCCAGCGCCAGTCCCCCCCCCCCCAGCACTGCCTGCTGCGCCCCCGCGGGCCGGCCAGATGTCAGCTACAATTATTAGCATGGGCGGGAGACACTGGCCTGGCAAGGTGCCCGCCCGACTCAGCAGGCCTCAGAATCTCCCTTGAGCCTAGGGTGGGGGGAAGGTGCGTGTGTAGGGGGGGGCACTCAGAGGTCACAGGGACCCTGCCAACGGTGGGGGCGTCCCCAGGGTCTTCTGGGATCTTCCTCCCACCCCAGGGCCCCTGGACTTCCCCTGCCCCAACACAGCCCCAGTTTCTCTTTCTCGCCTGTTGCCCATTTGAGCTTTTTTCTTCTCCCCGCGTGCTTGGGGGACGCTCAGGGCCTGCCACCCCCAACACGACAAAGCTAGCCTCAGGGCCTGTCGCCCCCAAAAGCAAGCCGGCTCAGCAAGTGTCCCTGTGGTCCAGGCCCTCGCAACTCTGAGGAGGAGGCCTGGTGGCTGCATGGGGACGCATCGCATACGCATCGCATGGAAAGCCCACTTTAGGTCAAAACCAGAAGCCACCCTGGCCTTCCCTCATATTCTCATGGATTTGGGCAGCGGTGGGGGTGGAGGGGAGCTCCCATTAAAAGGAACACCTTGGAGAGGGGGGCTCCCAAGCTCCTCAGGTATCCTGGTTGACTGACAGGATTACCAAGTTCAAACGGGGGGGGGGGGTTAGTGTGTGTGAGTGTGTGTGTGTTGGGGGGGTCCCTGACTCCCAGGAGTGACTCCCTGATGAAGGGAAGGGTACCCGACCTTCAGGAGCTGGCAGCTGCCTGCCTGCCCGCCGCCGTGCCAGCCCGCCCAGGCGCCGGGACGCCTCGAGGCAGCGGCCCGCCCCCTCCGCACCCCGAGTCGTCCGGGGGGCCGGGGGCGAAGTCCGACCCAGGCCCGCCCGCGGGCAGGCGGGGACCTGCCGGGCTGGGTCGGGCCAGGCCGGGCCTGGCCGGGGACGCTGCCCTGGAGCGCTTGGGCGGAGCCCGGGCATGGCCCACATGGGGGCCTTGAGGGGAGGAGGAGAGAGGGGGGCGGCGGCCGGGACTGGTCGGGACTAGCCAGCCGTCCGGGGGCCCAGGCGCGCCCTGGGACCTTGGCAGCCCCTGTGGGCTCCTTGGTTCCTGGCTCCGGGCCCCGGGACGAGCGCGGGTTCCCCACCCCTTCCTGTGCCCTAATATGGGCTCGGTCGAGGAGAAGCTCCCGGGGGTCTGCCCGCCTCCAGTGCGCGCCAAGCTGGTTGCCGTGGCGACCAGTCCCAGCTCCCAAGGGTGGCATCCCTCTCTCCCACCCCCACCCCGTGTCTCTCGGGCGGGCCAAATGGAACAGTCCCGGTTCCGCCTGTTTTCACGGACGCCGGCCGAGCACCGCGGGCGGAACCATTACCCTAACGGGGGGAGGGAAGGTGGATGGATGGATGGATGGATGGATGGATGGAGGGTCGCCGTTCCGCGTCCCGGGCAGCTGGACCCGAGGGCGGAGCGCACGGTCCCCGCAGGAGCAGAGTGACGGAGACAGGGCCGGACTCCTTCCCCACCCCCGGGGCTATTGCCACACTTCCTGCCTCGGCAGCGGCGGCGGCGCTCTTTTTCCCCCAGCCTGTTTCTAAGGAAGGGAGTGGGGTTGGGCGACCGCGCCCCGGGGCCGTCCGGGCTGGGGCCAGGCGAGCCCAGGGTCAGGAGGGAGGGAGGGATCTGGGGTGGGCAGCAGGTGCCTAGGGAGCACCTACGAAACAGGGTTGTGGGGGGGGGGTGCACTGGAGTGCCAGCCACGGTGGATCTCACAGCCCCCTACACACACACACCCCGAGGGGTCCCCCAAAACCCCTCCTCCTCCTCGTGCGTCTCAGCAGCGGCCCCCGCCCCCACCCTGCGTGTCATTGTCCCTTCTGGCCCTTCCACCAGAGCCTGGGTGATGTCCAGCTTCTGATAAACAGGTCCCCAGCTCCTACCCGCACCCAGCACGTCTTTGACCGGACCCCTCCCCACTTCCTTCTCTTTTTGTGGTGCTGTGCGTGTGCGACCGTGTGTGTGTGTGTGTGTGTGTGTGTGTGTGTGTGTGGAGGGGCGAACCTCAGACTCTGGGAGACCCCCTACTCATTTCTTGCATAACAAATAGGTAGGTCCTGGCAGCCCCGCCCCCTGACCCTTTCTGAACTCCTCCCCCACCTCCCTCTTGTGAAAAAGGTCCTAACCCCCCCTGGAGGTCTGGGACACCCCCCCCCCAAGGGTCTATTCCTGAGTCAGGTGTCTCCTTTTACGCACAAACACACTCTCAGGGACCGAACCCTCCCTCCCCCCCATCCTATTCCTCGGTCAGGTGCCTTCTCACACACACACACACACACACACACACACACACCCTCTTCTCCCCGCCCGTGTACTCTGCTTAACCTTCCTTTCCTCCACTCCTCGGGGGTCTCCCGATGTCGTGTCCATCCTCCTATCTCTCCTGGGGACACACCGGGTCTCGCTTCGGGTCCCTTTCCGATCGATACCCACTCTGAGACCTCCATTCCACGCCGCCAGCCCCTCCCCAAACACATCCCACGCTCCATTTGCTCGCTAGCAGGTCTTTCTTCCAAGGCGCCCCGAATTACGCCGGGGTTTATTGTTCACACCCACCCGCGTCCCCCCCGCCCCCTTCCACCACCGGGTAGACCTCGCGACCCCCCCACCACCACCGGCAGTAGCACTGATTTCAAAGCGACCCACCGGGGAGGGATCCCTCGAGCCCCTCCCCTGCCCGCACCGAGCCACCCGGCCCGTGGCCGCTGTTTACCAAGACACGCGCTTCCTGACAGTGACGCGAGCCGCCTCCTCCCCTTCCCCACGCTCCGGGAGGAGGAGGAGGTGGAGGAGGGGGCGCGCCGCGCGGGGGCCCGGCTCCGGCCAATCAGGGCGCACTTCCGTGGCTGACTCCGCGCGGTATAAAGGCGCACAGCCTGGGCTGGAGCGCCTGGGACCTTGAGAGCAGCCGGGCCAGCGTCGGAGCCAACCCCGGGAGCGGCGCAACCAAGGGTTGGGAGTAGGGGTGGCAAAGACAGAGAACAAGAAAGCCCAGCGCGCGCCCAGAGAGGGGAACCAGACAAGAAGGGGCTCACTTGGGAAGCCGGACCGAGAGGACTTGGGGCGTACGGCTGACAGCAGGCTGGTGCCAGCCTGTACCAGCCGCCACCCCCTCCCCTCCTCCACACACGCACACACATCTTCCAAAAAAAGAGGAACGCGCGATCGGACCAAGCGACATCTCCATCCGGACTCCAACTCGCCGCCGCGAGGCCCTGGGGTGGCCCCGTCGGGACCACCCCCCACCGCCAAGCCCGCGCGCCCCAGCACTGCGCCTGGGCCGCCCGGATGTGCACTAAAATGGAACAGCCTTTCTACCACGACGATTCTTACGCAGCTGCGGGATACGGCCGGGCCCCCGGCGGCCTCTCTCTCCACGACTACAAACTCCTGAAACCCAGCCTGGCGCTTAACCTGACCGATCCTTACCGGGGCCTCAAAGCGCCCGGGGCGCGCGGCCCGCCGGGTTCCGAGAGCAGCGGAGCCACCAGCTACTTTTCCGGCCAGGGCTCGGACACGGGCGCATCTCTCAAGCTCGCCTCCTCGGAGCTGGAGCGCCTGATCGTGCCCAACAGCAACGGCGTGATCACGACGACGCCCACGCCTCCGGGACAGTACTTCTACCCTCGCGGGGGAGGCGGCAGCGGCGGCGGCGGCGCCGGAGGGGCAGGGGCCGCGGGGGGCGGCGTCACGGAGGAGCAGGAGGGCTTCGCCGACGGCTTCGTCAAAGCCCTGGACGACCTGCACAAGATGAACCACGTGACGCCCCCCAACGTCTCTCTGGGAGCCAGCGGGGGACCCCCGGCCGGGCCAGGGGGCGTCTACGCGGGCCCCGAGCCGCCTCCCGTCTACACCAACCTCAGCAGCTACTCGCCGGCCGCCTCTGCGCCCTCCGGAGGCGCCGGGGCCGCCGTGGGCACCGGGAGCTCCTACCCGACGGCCACCATCAGCTACCTCCCGCACGCGCCGCCCTTCGCCGGCGGCCACCCGGCTCCGCTGGGCTTGGGCCGCGGCGGTGCGTCCGCCTTCAAGGAGGAACCGCAGACGGTGCCCGAGGCGCGCAGCCGCGACGCCACGCCGCCCGTGTCGCCCATTAACATGGAAGACCAGGAGCGCATCAAAGTGGAGCGCAAGCGGCTGCGGAACCGGCTGGCGGCCACCAAGTGCCGGAAGAGGAAGCTGGAGCGGATCGCGCGCCTGGAGGACAAGGTGAAGACCCTGAAGGCTGAGAACGCGGGGCTATCCAACACCGCCGGCCTCCTCCGGGAGCAGGTGGCCCAACTTAAGCAGAAGGTCATGACCCACGTCAGCAATGGCTGCCAGCTGCTGCTCGGGGTCAAGGGACATGCCTTCTGAGCGCTGACCCCGGCCATCCCACACCTGGACGGCTGGCTGGGCGCGCGGGGTCGGGGGTGGGCGCTCGGCACCCCAGCCCACCGCACCTCACTCCTGGGGCGCGTCGCCAACCACACTGGACTCGGGCCCGCTCGCTCTGCACCCAGAAAACCTCCACGTCGACGTTTACAAGCTTCCCCCCCACCCCTCCACGGTTTTGGTTTTTTTTTTGTATTTTTTTTTTCTTCAGGAAACAGACTCGATTCATATTGAATATAATATATTTGTGTATTTAACAGGAGGAGGGGAGGAGGGGGCGATCGCGGCGGAGCTGGCCCCGCCGCCCGGTACTGGAGCCCGCGCGGGGACACTTGGGGAAGGGACCCCCACCGCCCCCTGACCTCCCCACCCCCAGCGCCCCTGCACCGTACTGTGGAGAACACGCACTTGGTCTCTCTAAAAGAACAGAGTTTATTTTAAGATGTTATATGTGTGTATGTGTGTGTGTGTGTGTGTGTGTGTGCGCGTGCGCACGCGCGCGCTCTTTTTATTGAATCTATTTAAGTAAAAAAAAAAATTAAGATTCTTTACATTTTAGTGGTCTTTTTTATTTTTCCTCCCTAAAGCCAGGTGGACAGAGAGAGGAGAGGAACTCGGGGTGGTTATCCCCCCTGCCATTCTCTGCTGTTTGTGCCTTCTTCCAGGTGCCCCCTGCACCCCGGCTACGCTCAGCCGCCCGCCTGCTGCCCCTTGCCCACCTCCCCAGGGCCTCCTCTCCCGAGGGACTCTTGCGCAGCCCGCCTGCTGCCCCCTGCCCCTTGCCCGCGTCCCCAGGGCCTCCTCTCGGCGAGGGACTCCTGCGCAGCCCGCCTGCTGCCCCCTGCCCGCCTCCCCAGGGCCTCCTCTCCCGAGGGACTCCTGCGCAGCCCGCCTGCTGCCCCCTGCCCCCTGCCCGCGTCCCCAGGGCCTCCTCTCCCAGCCCGGGGCGCTGCCCCCTGCCCCCTGCCCGCGTCCCCAGGGTCTCCTGTCCCGAAGGACTCCTGCCCAGCCCGCCTGCTGCCCCCTGCCCCTTGCCCGCGTCCCCAGGGCCTCCTCTCCCGAGGGACTCCTGCGCAGCCCGCCTGCTGCCCCCTGCCCCTTGCCCGCGTCCCCAGGGCCTCCTCTCCCAGCCCTGGGCGCTGCTGGCCGCTCGGGGCAGGAGAGGGCGCTGACCGCCCCAGTGGACGCGCCGCGTGCGCAGACGCCACCCCGCCCAGCCGCGCGTCGGGGCTTTCCCCGCTGACGCAGCGGAAGCGCTTGTCCATAAATGGGCCGATCGTGCCCAGTGACGCGGCCCGGCCGTCTCCGGGCAGATTCCGGGAATCCCCTCCCCCGCTCGGGCTGCCGGGCAAGGCCGCGGGCGCCGGGAAGAGGGCTGGGATTTTCCCGGGCGGGCGGAAAGCCCCAGGCCCCGGCTCCTGGAGCGCCCCTTGGGGAGCCACCCAGCACAGGCGCCCTGGCTCCTGGAGCGCCCCTTGGGGAGCCACCCAACACAGGCGCCCTGGCTCCTGGAGCGCCCCTTGGGGAGCCGTCCTGTGTGCGCCCTAGCTCCTGGAGTGCCCCTTTGGGGAGCCATCCTGGGTGCGCCCTGGCTCCTGGAGCGCCCCTTTGGGGAACCATCCTTTGTGCACCCTGGCTCCTAGAGCGCCCCTCTGGGAATCACCGAGTATAGGCCCGGTCTCTTGGAGAGACCCTCAGGGCAGCGGCCACAGCTCCTGGAGCGCCCCTCGGGGAGCCACCCAGCACAGGCGCCCTGGCTCCTGGAGCGCCCCTTGGGGAGCCGTCCTGTGTGCGCCCTGGCTCCTGGAGCGCCCCTTGGGGAGCCACCCAGCACAGGCGCCCTGGCTCCTGGAGCGCCCCTTGGGGAGCCACCCAGCACAGGCGCCCTGGCTCCTGGAGCGCCCCTTGGGGAGCCGTCCTGTGTGCGCCCTGGCTCCTGGAGCGCCCCTTGGGGAGCCGTCCTGTGTGCGCCCTAGCTCCTGGAGCGCCCCTTTGGGGAACCATCCTTTGTGCGCCCTGGCTCCTAGAGCGCCCCTCTGGGAATCACCGAGTATAGGCCCGGTCTCTTGGAGAGCCCCTTCAGGACAGCGGCCACAGCTCCTGGAGCACCCCTCTGGGAGCCACCCAGCACAGGCCCCAGCTCCTGGAGCACCCTCATGGGGAGACCTGCCCCGCGAGGGTCCCGAGCCGCCTCGCACAGGCCCTGGCTCTAGGAACAGGAGATAGCAGGTGGCCTCTGTGGCACCTGGGTCGACACTGATTTGCCCCCCACCCCCGACAGCACCAGTCCCCGCCAGGAAGGGCGGCGCCCGCCTGCCAATTTCCCCTCCCGGGTGCCAGGCCGGGAGCTGGGAGCCGGGCCACTGCCAGGTCTGGTCCTGCCGGGGCGGCTGCTGGAGCCGCCGGGCACCGCCCTCACCTCATCCCGCCTCCCCTGCGGCAGTGCCAGGGTGGTGGCTATGGGGTGGGGGTGGAGGAGAAGGGGGGGTGCTCCCGGCGCTCCCCGGAGAGAAGCCAGGGGCTAAAGAAAACAGAAGCTCAGCCTTACATTTAGGAAATCCTGAGAGCCACCAGGCCCTGAACACAGGCTGGACCAGGGTGGGCGGCCACTGGAAAAGCAAACAGGATGGTGGTGGCGGCGAGGGCAAAGAGAAGCAGCATATCCAAGGGGTAGTGATCAGGCAAGGGGGTGGGTGGGAAGTTAAGAGCAAGAACTTTTAAAGTTTATGTATATACTTTAGAATGACACACAGAGATCTTCCATCTTCTGGCTCATTCTCTGAAAGGTACCAACAGCCAGAGCTGGGCCAAACTGAAGCCAGGAGCCAGGAGCTCCATCCAGGTCAGCTGCGTGGGTGCAGGGGCCCGGGCAGTTGGGCATCTCCCACTCCTCCCCCAGGCACATCAGCTGGGAGCTGAATTGAAAGGGACCACTCGCACGTGGTGGTGTCAGGCCCCAGTGTAACCCACGCTGGGCCTGGGAGCCTGGTCCGTGGGTTGGACAGAGCAGGGCCCCAAGAGAATGAATGCTGGCTGCTAGACGGCATGCCAGGCCCAGGGCAGGGCCCAAGCAGCCTGTGAAAGAACAACAGTAAGTCCAGAGGGGAGTGAACCATGACGGAAGCCACACAGAAGGGGCCGGTGTGGATTGGTCTCCCAGAAGGGAGGACTCACCCCAGGAGGTTCTTGGGAGGCAAGGTGACTGAATGAATGGGGCAGAGGCAGCAGGGTGGCACAGCTGGTAAAGCTATGAGGTGGGTGCAGCCTGCAGTACCAGCATCCCACGTGGACTCCACTTTGAGTCCCGCCTGCTGCACTTCCCCCATCCAGCTCCTTGCTTGTGGCCTGGGAAAAGCAGTAGAGCTTGGCCCAGGGAGATGGAGGAGCTAGCTCCTGGCTTCTGATTGGCCTAGCTGCTATTAAGGAAGTGAATCAGATGGAAAAATCTGTCTCCTTGTATTTCTTTTTGAATAAATACATTTTTTGGAAACCTGACTTGGGGCATACACAAAGTATCCTTTAGAAACACCTGCTCACTGGCTGCTGCAACCCTGCCCCTCCCACACCAGGGACTCATTCTGAGTGCAACAGACTGAGTCAGAGTTCGCCCAGCAGCCCCTACAGGGCACTGCCCTGGCCACCCTGAGCCCCAAGCACAGCCAGGCCCCCGAGCATCCCACACTGGGTGTCCCCGAAGGAGCAAGGCAATTCATGTGCTGAAGGTTTCTGTTCCCATCCCACCAAGGAACAGACCAGACCCAGGGACCATGGTGGGTGGCTCTCCAATCTGGCTCATCACCCTGACCAGGCCAGGGAGGCCAGGAGTCAGGTCTCAGGGCACGTTGGGGTTTGGCTGCCTCCAGGGTACACAGGGGTTTGTGCTCTTGGAGGACCCCCAGCCCCTCACTCCCCTACACACCTCATACAATGGGCCTTCGGGCCAAGGAGGAGGAAGAGCCAGTAGCCAGCGTGAGCTCAGGCTGCCACCTGCTGAGCATAATCAGTTACTACAGGGTCTGTGGGGGGGGGGGAGCCGCGGGGACAGGGGACAGAGCAAATGGACGCCAGACTCACCTCTGTCCCTAATACTTTATTGATCACCGCTAGGTCTGTGCATGGCTGGGTGGGCTCTGGGCAAGGGGGTGGCCTAGCCCTGCAAGCCTCCCTTCCAACTCCCCAAGCCCAGGTCCAGGGGCAGTTTTTCCTAGGGGTTAGGAGAGGGATGCCCACTCAGGGAATCAAGATGAGGGCACAGATGGGGGTAAAGCAGCTTGGCGGCCAGCCTGCCAGCCTAGTTGTGCTTGGAGAAATATTCCTTGCTGTCATCCACATTGGGTTTGATGGTGTCGCTTCCCGGCCTCCAGCCGGCGGGACAGACTGCAAGAAGTTAAGGCACAAGGTCAGAGGACCCACAGCCCGGACTATGAGAGCCAAACACACGAGCCCAGACCTAGAAGACTTGGCTGTGCTCCTGGCTCAGAACACTGCTCCCTAATCACCTCCCGGACCCCCCCCCCCGCCCTAAAACAAGGCCCAGAGTCAGAGGGCAGGCAAGGGCTGCCACTGCCCAGCCTACCTTGGTGGCAAACATCCGCATGAGTGACAGAGGGGCCGACTCAGGAGTGAGGCACGAACCCACACGCACCCACACACACCCACACACCTTCCCCGTGCTCATCCGTGTACTGGAAGGCCTGCACCAGTCGCAGGGCCTCGTCCACTGAGCGTCCCACGGGCAGGTCATTCACGGTGATCTGGCGGAGGACGCCTTTGCCATCGATGATAAAGAGGCCCCTGGGGACATGGGTGGTCAGAGTGAGGAGCTGGGTGAGGTGGGTGGAGGGCGGGAAGAGGGCCCCCATGCCCGCCCCTGGGGACCCAGCTGCCTGTCCGTGCACCTGTAAGCGATTCCCTCATCCGTCTTCAGCACCCCATAGTCCTGGGACAATCTTCTGGTGACGTCAGCCAGGAGGGGGATGTTCAGAGGACCCAGGCCACCCTCCTTCCGGGGGGTGTTGATCCTGGCCGGGGTTGGGGGTAGGGAAAGATTGAGAGGTCAGGCAGGGCAGCAGGGTCCCTGATAAGGGGGCCCCCAAAGCAGGAGAGTGCTGGGAACGGCAGATAAAGAACTCCCACCCACAGGAGGCCCTGGGGCACCCCACCCACCCCACCCTGGGTGTGGAAGTGTGACAGGTGGGTGGGGCAGGGGCTGTGTCTACAGCCACCACACCAGCTCCTTCTAAGTGACCTCATGGGCTGCAATGGTTTCTCTTCTTGGGGTCCTGGGGGGGGGGGGTCTAGCTTGGACTCTCCACATTAGCCATTGTAGGCAGTCAGTCAGGCCACAGGTCGTCAGATGCTAATTTACCAGGGTGGAGTGGGTCCAGTGGGGAGGGAAGGGGAGGCCTGGGCAACAGCAACCTCCCCAGCCCCACCAGGCAGCGGGCCGGCTCCTTACCAGGCCAGGTGAGTGAACTGGGAGTCCACGGACACCCCCAGCACCTCGCAGCCCAGCTTGCGGAAGTCCTCGGCGTGCTCGCTGAACGCGATGATCTCGGTGGGGCACACGAAGGTGAAATCCAGGGGGTAGAAAAAAAGGACCACGTATTTCCCTGGAGGAGCGGGGCAACGGGCCTGGAGTGAGCACCCAGCTTGCAGGAGGGGGGACAGGGACGCGAGCGGGCATGCGCATTCTGCCCCGTCGCCCCCGCCCCCACCTGGATGCAGGCTCCAGACCGGACTCACCTCTGTAGTCCGAGAGCTTCACCTCCTTGAACGCACCATCCACTACCGCGGTGGCCGTGAAGTCAGGGGCTGGCTTCCCGATGTGCGCATTGCCGGACGCCATGGCTGAAAGCTGATCCAACCGCCACCATCATCACCATCATCCTCATCCCCTCACCTCTCCCACCCCGTACACGCACGCGCGCACGCCCCCCTCCCGCCCGGACAAGGCCCTAGGAGACAGACCCTTCATCCTCCTTCCCGCACCAAGGTCAAGTGCGCCCAGGTGCTCAGCCTGAGTCTCGGCTGGAGTCAGCTGGGCCCCAGGGGAGGCTTCTGGAGACCCGCCCCGGCCGGAGCGCGGGTGACCACGGCCGGGTTCTCTCCAGGAGCCAGTTGCTCCAAGCGCCTTTCTCCTCTACCCACCAAGCCCAGGAGGAGAGAGACAGGGCGCCCACGGCGATCCAGCCTCGGTTCCCCACCCCGGCAAGGACAAAGGCAGGCAGCAGCCACCATGGCGGATGGGACACACACAAAGGCAGCCAGCGATGCGGGCCGGGGGTCGGGAAGCGAAAGAAGCTGGCGTTGCTCCAAGGTGGGGGGCGCTCTCTCCGCACCCCCTCATCTAGTTGGGTGCACCCGGGCTGCCCATACCTGCAAGGGTCAGGGGTGGATGCGCGGGCAGCCAGACGCACGGGAGTGTGGCTCTCTGCGCCAAGTGCGCGCGGGGCAGCGGAGCCTTTTATGGGCGGCGCGAACCATGACGCGCGCGGGCCGGGGGGCGGGGGGAGTGGTGGCGGTGGGCGCGGACCTGAGAAGCGGTCGGGTCCACTGCGCTCCCGGGGCAGGGGGGCGGCGCCGATGGAGAGCCTGCAGCAGCCAGTCCTGCTGGACCGCTGACCGCTCCCACCGCTTCCCGGCGCGTGGCCTGGCCCCGGGTGCGCGCCGAATGGGGGCAGTTGGGGACCAGGCATGGCCCGGGGTCAGCCGGCTCCGCTGCTGCTGCTGTTGGCGCTGCTGCTGGTGCCGCTGCTGGCGACCCGGGCCTGGGTCTTCCCGGATTACCAGTACTTCGGTCAGCAGGGCGGCGAAGGTGACACTTGGGAACAGCTGGGACTGAAGCAGCAAAAGGGTAAACAGAACAAACGAGCCGCAAAGTTAGCTGTAATCTTAAAGAACCAGCACAAAACAAATGATGCAAGAACGTGAGGACAGCGTGTCCCCGGGTTGGTGGGGGCGGTGGAGGCAGGAGGAGGGGGTGGCTTGAGGAGCAGATCTGGGGGTGCTGAGCTGAGCAGTAGGGACCAAGAAAGGGGAGGGGCTTGACAAGAGATTGGCATAGCTGGTTTTGTTGGTACAATCCTGGGAGCTGTTAAGCATCTTCATTATGTCATTTATGCCATGTCATGGAGCACTTGACAGCCCTCCAGGCAGGTGGCACTGTGCCCAGCTGGAGAGGCCTGGGACCAGGGCCCTGGAAGCCAAGTGTCACCTTCCCATGACAGACACCGCCGAGGGGGAGGGTGTCACCCGCTCGGGTGGGCGGGCTGTCTGCAGGTATCAGCAGAGAGGCTGAGCTGAGTGGGGGTAGGTCTCAGTTTCTCTCCCTGGGACACCTGGCCAAGAGGGTGTGCCCCAGAAGGTTCTTGAAGAACAGGAGTCCAGGAGTCGGGGCCTAGCAGATGCCCGAGGTTCCTGGATAGGTAGTACTGTGGTGTAGCCAGTTAAACTGCTGCTTGTCATACCAGAAACCCAAATCCCACATTAGAACGTTGGGTTGGAGCTGTTGGCTTCCGGCCCAGCTCCTTGCTCCTGCGTCTGGGAAAATAGCAGAGGATGGCCAAGGGTGTTCCCACCCGCCACCAACATGGGAGACCCAGATGGAGCTCGTCGTGGCTCCTGGCTTTGTCCTGGCTCAGCTCTGGCTGTTGCTGCATTTGGGAAGTAAACCAGGAAATGGCAGATCTCTCTCTCTCTCTCTTTCTCTCTCTCTCCATGCCCATTTACCTCTCCAATCTATGTATTTATTTTTATTAGGAAAGTCAGATATACAGAGAGCAGGAGAGACAGAGAGGAAGATCTTCCATCTGCTGATCCATGCCCCAAGTGGCTGCAACAGCCGGAGCTGAGCCGATCCAAAGCCAAGAGCCAGGAGTTTCCTCCATGTTGTCCCCAGGCTGTGGGCCGTCCTCTACTACTTCCCCAGGTCACAGGCAGGGAGCTGGATGGGAAGTGGGGCCGCCGGGATTAGAACCAGTGTCCATGTGGGATCCTGGCATGGCAAGGTGAGGACTTTAGCCACTAAGCTTTTGCACCATGCTCAACAAATAAATCTTAAAAAAAGAAAAAGTTTGTGCAATTAAAAGGTAGGTTTGCTTTTGTGCTATAAGGTAAAATTTATATAGCCAGGGAGCATTCAACAGGTTCATGCAAAAATGTATCTTATACAAATATGCATGGGGCCCAAAGCATCTAGCTCCCTGCTTGTGGCCTGGGAAGTCTTGGGACCCTGCACCCGCGTGGGAGACCTGGAAGAGACTCCTGGCTCCTGGCTTTGGATCGGCTCAGCTCCGGTTGCTGCAGCCACTTTGGGAGTGAATCAGCAGACAGAATATCTTTCTCTCTGTCTCTTCTCTGTATATCTGATTTGTGTTTTCAATAAAAATATATGAATCTTTTTTCAAAAATTGCAAGACAGAGCTTTCATTTTCTGTTTTATTCCCTAAATGCCTACAAAAGCTGGGCACCCAACCAGGACCAAGGTAGGAGCCAGGAATTCCACTGGGGTCCCCTGAGAAGGTGGCAAGGTCCAGCATTTGAGTCCTGCTCTGCTGCGTCCCCTGTGTGTGCGCCACTGCAGGAAGCGGGGCTGGGAAGCAATGTTTGGGGTCTCCAACCAGGCGCTCTGGTGTGGGAGGCTGGCACGGGCAAGCCCCACCTCTGCCCTTTGTTGCATGCTTATCTTGTTCCTCCAGGATGGGGAGGAGTGATGTGTGTGTGTGTGTGCATGTGTGTGTGTGTGTGTGTGTGTGTGTGTGTGTGGTAGAGGAATGTCTTCACGTAGTTCTTGCATCTCTAGACTTGCAAGAATCGAACCTGGGCCCGTGGGGAAAGTGGAGGTGTCGGTGCGACCAGGGGCAGCAGGAGCGCAGCCGCAGCGTGCTGGGCACCGCGCCGGCTCCGGGGTTCTGGGAACGGGATCACCTGGTCCAGGTGAGGCCCTGCAGGCTTCGGGACTGTTCGTCCTGCCATCCCTCGGACTGCGACTGGAGGGCCTGAGCCAGGGTGAGCCACCCGCACTGAGGGGGTGGGCCTACGTCTGAGGTGTGGGGTCACCCTGGGAAAGCGGGGGAAGTCAGGGCCAGACTTGGCCCGGGAGGACGGGAGGGTGCAAAGCCGAGCTGCTGGGGGTAGGAGACGACTCCCCCATGGCCTAAATCCTGGGGGAAGGAGGGTGGGACGACGCCCCCACGGGCCCCTCACCCTGGGGATTCAGCGATGCTCTGCAAGCCGCGTTCTAGGGACGGAACGGCGTTTGCCCTTCTAGGCTTCCAGAGAGAGTCCATTGAGCGAGCCTCAGTGTCCCCGGTCCTGCCTTTCTCTTCCCACCAGGCCCAGGCTCCTCCGGGACGTGCACCGACATCTGCCAAGGCCCGGGTCGACCGTCGGCCCTGGGAACCACAACTCCCGAGAGGCTGCGCGGCAGCGGCGTCGGCGTGTGCCTCGGCGACAAGGGCGTCGGGAGGCGTGTCCCACGCCCTGATTGGCTGAAAGTCGGCGCCCGCGCGCGGCACGTCCAAGCGGGATCCCTGCGCCTGCGCGCTGACCTGTGGCGGCTGAGGCGGCTGAGGCGGCTGAGGCGGCATGGAGCTCGGCGAGCTGCAGAGAGACAACACGGGCCGCTGTCGCGTGAGCTCGCCCGTGCCCGCGCTCTGCCGCCAGGAGCCCTGCGCCCTGGGCGTGGACGAAGCGGGCCGGGGCCCCGTGCTGGGTGCGCACCCCTGGGTCGGGGTGGTGGACGTGGGTATTGCTGCCCGCATCCCAGGTGGGACGGGAAGGGTGGTGGGCGTTGCTGCCTGCATCCCAGGCGGGACGGGAAGGGTGGTGGGCATTGCTGCCCGCATCCCAGGCAGGTCGGGGTGGTGGCCCCAGGCATTGCTGCTGCATCCCAGAAAGGCAGTAGTGGTGGCAGTGGGAGGGCAGCCCACTCCCTGGGAGAGTGACCCCTGCCTTCCTCCCTCCCTCCCTTTCCCGCAGGCCCAATGGTCTATGCCATCTGTTACTGCCCCCTGTCTCACCTGGCGGAGCTGGAGGCCCTGAAGGTGGCAGGTGAGCCCGGGCCGAGGTTGTGTGTTGGTGGGTGGCTGGGGTAGTGCAGGGGGACCCTGAGTTGGTGAGGCCAGCCAACTGTCCTCCCTTCTCCATCTCTTCCTGACAGACTCCAAGACCCTGTCGGAGAGCGAGCGAGAGAGGCTCTTTGCAAAAATCAACCAGGATGGGGATGCTGTGGGCTGGGCATTGGACATCTTGTCTCCAAATCTCATCTCCACCAGCATGCTCGGGCGGTGAGGGGGCCACCGGCAGGGGCAGCCAGGAGGGGCGTGGGGGCCCGAGAGGGGTCATACCAGGAAGTGTGTCCTTCCCAAACTCAGGGTCAAGTACAACCTGAACTCCCTGTCCCACGACACGGCCACCGGGCTGATACAGTACGCCCTGGATCAGGGCGTCCACGTGACCCAGGTGAGTGGAGGGGGACGTGCTGGGCATCGTGGGCAGCGTTGAGTGGAGAGGCCCCTGGCAGCACCCAAATGCCACCTTGGAGTCCCGGTTGGGGTCCAGGCTTCTCTCTCCCTATCCAGCTTTCTGCTGTTGACCCAAGTCCCTGGGTCACTCATGGCCACTCACGTGGATGAAGTTAAGACTTCCGGCTTCCCCCTGACCCAGCCCAAGCTCTTTGCAGGCGTGTGGGGGCGGGAGGAGAGTGGCAGCCCAGCAGGTGGAAGAGCTCTCAGTGTCTGTATACATCTGCCTTTCAATGAAAGTCAAGTTTAAGGGCAGGGGAGAAGGGGCAGAGGGCAGGATTTTAGCCCAGAAGTTCAGACCGTGGGAGTGAGGCCTGGGGCCCTTATATGGCTACTTGGTTTCCAGACCCAGCTCTAATTCCTTAACATTTATTTCTTGCAAAAGCCACCTTTGGGTGGATCCTGGCTGCTCCGGGCCAGCCCCTGCTGATAAGCCAGGAAGGCAGTGGAGGGTGGCCCAGGCACTTGGGCCCCTGTACCCACATGGGAGACCCCCAGGAAGTTTCTGGCTCGTAGATTCTGGCTTCACAGGCCTGTTCTGGCCATTGGAGTATTTGGGGAGTGAACCAGCAGGTGAAAGATCTGTCTCTGTAATTCTACCTTTCAAATAAAATACATCTTTGGTCCTGGTGCCATGGAGTAGCAAGTTAAGCCTTCACCTGTGGTGCTGGCTCCAGTTCCAGCTGCCCCACTTCCCATCCAGCTCCTTGCCTGTGGCCTGGGAAAGCAGTGGAGGACGGCCCAAAGCCTTGGGACCCTGCACCTGCGTGGGAGACCCGGAAGAGGCTCCTGGTTCCTGGCTTCAGATCGATGCAGCTCCGGCTGTTGCATCCACTTCCCAGATGGCTGAGTGCCCAGAGCTGGGCCTGGTTGGAGCCAGGAGCTTCGTCCAAGTCCCCCACATGGGTACAAGGGCCCATGGATGTGGGCCATGCTCCATTGCCCCAGTCAGCTGCATTAGCGGGGGCTTACTTGACTCTTGCAACTGGCTCTGTGCCAATGCAGACCCCTGTGAGGCTGCAGTGATGGCTCAGGGGGCACCCAGTGGGACAGCTGGGTTGTAGTCCCGTTCCCAGCATCCCCTCGACCCTGGGGGGTGTTTGAGGAGTGAGCCACCAGATGAGATCTTGTACACAGCTTCTCTCTCTCTTATTTTCACTTTCTTGCTGTCTCCCCAGTTATAAAATTGAATTGGAATCTGCCAAGCTCTATGGGGCGGTGCAGCGGCAGGGGGGGTGGCCGGCAGGTGATGGCTGTGTGTTTGGAGGAACCCCACCTCTGCACCCTCCTGCGTAGCCCGCGGCACCCCCAGCCTCCTGGCCGCATGCCCAGCTTCCCGGGTTCCCACGCCCACCTCGCAGCCACTCCCCTTCAGGCAGCTCCCCACGCAGCAGACGGTTCTTTGCAAAATGTAAATCTTGACATTTCATGGAAACCGAACCGGGCAGATTTGCACGGGGTGGGACGCGATGAGCAGAAATCACCATAAGACACCTCGGAGCGGCAGCCGTGAGGCTCTGCGCCTCGGCAGGGGGCCCGCTGCTGCAGCACAGCGGCAGGGGAGCTGGGCGCTCCAGGCTTGGGGGGCACTGCCGGCCCTGGTCTAAGGCCTGTGGCCGGGCGGGGGGGGGGATGTGGGCGGCCCCTGGTCGGTGAAAAACTGGGGATTTCCTTATCTCTTTTCACTTTTAAAAACGTTTTTAAAGGATCTATGCATTTTTATTTAAAAGGCATATTCAGAGCGAAAAGGAGAGCTAGACATGTTCCACCCACTGGTTCATTCTCCACATACCCTCCATGGCCAGAGCTGGGCCAGCCTGGAGCCAGCAGCTTCTTCCAGGTCCCCCACGTGGGTGCAGGGACCCAGACACGTAAGCCACCCTCTTTTGCTTTGCCAGGTGCGTGAGCAGGGAGCTGAAGGGGAAGTGGAGCAGCTGGGACATGAACCAGCACCCATATGGGATCCTGGCAGTTGCAAGGCAAGGATTTAGTCACTAGGCTATCACACCAGGTTCAAATAAAACTTTAAAATGAGAAGAAGCGGGCCCAGTACAGTAACCTAGTGGCTAAACTCGCCTAGCATGTGCTGGAATCTGATATAGGCACCAGTTCATGTTCCAGCTGTCCCACTTCCCACCCAGCTCCTTGCCTGTGGCCTGGGAAAGCAGTGGAGGACAGCCCAAAGCCTTGGGACCCTGCATCCGCATGGGAGACCCGGAAGAGGCTCCTGGCTCCTGGTTTCTGATCAGCTCAGCTCCGGCTGTTGTGGCCACTTGGGGAGTGAACCGATGGACAGAATATCTTTCTCTGTGTATCTCTTTCTCTATATACATATCTCCCTTTCCAATAAAAAAAAAATTAATTAAAAAAAGAATGAGATCATGTGAGGAGACCTGGGCAGCTGTCCCTGGTGGCAGCAGATGCCCACGGGCAGCGAGCCAGAGGTCTTGGGCACATTTGCCCTGCCTGAGGTTTGCCTGCGTGCTCCGGGCCAGGTGTTCGTGGACACAGTCGGGTCGCCGGAGTCGTACCAGAAGCGGCTGCAACAGAGCTTCCCTGGGATTGAGGTGACGGTGAAGGCCAAAGCGGATGCCCTGTACCCCGTGGTCAGCGCCGCCAGCATCTGTGCCAAGGTCAGCTCCCTGTCCCCTGCCGCGGTCCTGCCATGCGGGGTCAGCTCCCAGCATGCCCGGATCGGGGCAGGAGGTCCCAGCACCCATGTGCCCCAACGCAGGTGGCCCGGGACCAGGCTGTGAGGGATTGGCAGTTCCTGGAGACACTCGAGGACCTAGATACCGATTACGGCTCAGGCTACCCCAACGGTGAGCATGGCCTCGGCCAGGGCTGGCCAGGCCCCCGGGCATCGTGTAGGTTGTCCTGGTCACGCTGGCGCACAGTGGGGCAGATCCCGGAGTGTCCCAGGCAGTTGGTCGTAGTGGAGGAGGAGGAGGGCAGGTGGGAGATTGCCTCCACGCCACCCCTCTCCTCCAGCCTTTCCTCCCACCTCAGGCCTGCTTATTTATTTATTTTTAAAAGAGTTATGTGTGTATTTGAAAGGCTGGGTTACAGAGAGACGATCTTCCATCTGCCAGTCCACTCCCCAAATGACTCAGCTGCTGGAGCTAAACCAGACTGAAGCCAGGAACCAGGAGCTCCAGCTGGGTCTCCTCCATGCTTGGCAGATCAGGCACTCGGGCCACCCTCCACTGCTCTCACAGACACCTTCGCAGAGAGCGGGATGGGAAGTGGAGCAGCCGGGACGAAAACCATCGCCCTTGTGGGATTCAGCACTGTGTGTGTGTGTGTGGCGGGGGTGGTTTAACCCACTTTGCCACAGCAGTAACCCCAATTTCCAAGTATTTGTTTGAAAGAGAGAGAAATCTTACATCTGCTGGTTTACTCCCCAAAAATGGCTGTGACAGCTGGGACTGGGCCAGGCCATTGCCAGGGGTTCAGGAACTCTGTGGATTCCACGCATCCCTCCCACTTGGTGGTCTCTGCAGGCCCCCCCCCGAACAGGGGGTCCAGGCGACCATCTGTCCGGCCGTGAAGGGGAAGGGATGAGGATGAGCAGCTCGGGTCCCCCGGGTCAGAGCTCTCGGTCTCCTTGTTTGTGAAATGGGTGTGACCGCGCGTGCACCTCCCACCACCCCCACCCCATCTCTGCTGACCCAATGGGGGTGTAGGAGGTCCGACAGTCACCTGACATCAGCAAACCCCAGTTTTCTGATGACTGTTGACCCCAGCAGGGATGAAGGCGGCATAGGAAGTTATCCCCAGCAGTTGTCGTCACTTCCGCCACTCCCCTGCTTAATGGGCAGGCCCGTGCCAAGGGCCCCCCAGGCCAGGGAGGCAGCGAGGAGCCTTGGGTCTTACAGAAGAAAGTGAGGCCCTCGTGGGACCTGCTCACTCAGGCCCTCCATTACCCCCCCACCCCTGCCCTGATCCCCCAGATCCCAAGACGAAGGCCTGGCTGCGGAAGTACGTGGAGCCCGTGTTTGGCTTCCCCCAGTTCGTGCGCTTTAGCTGGAGCACGGCTCAGAGCATCCTGGAGAAGGAGGCGGAAGGCGTAACGTGGTGGGTGTCCCTGGTGCTGGGCAACAGGAGGGAGGGAGGCCGGGCTCGGACCCGACCTGGGAGGACCACGACTCCGCCCTTCCCGAAGTGGTCAGTAAGGCCAGCTCTCTGCCCAACCCTACCCAGGGAGGACACACCCACAGAGGAAGCGGAAGGCGCCAGGAGCATCAGGTCCTACTTCAGCCAGGAAGGCCCCCGTCCCCGGCTGCCCCACCGGTACTTCCAGGAGAGAGGATTGGAGGTGGCCACTACCCTCTAGCGAGCCACAGCCCCTTCTCCCTCTGTCTCCTCTCATTCCAAAGTGATTAAAGTGGTTCAAGGATCCGGAGTCTTGGGACCATGTTCTGGGGTGGTGCGGGACAGGGTGGGGAGCCTGCCTGCGTTGCATCGCGCCCTGGTCACTCCTGTCCATTTAACTCCTGTCCATTTGGAACTTAGGTAGAAGGGCGCTGGAGGATTGAAGTCCAGTCATACCAGGGTATTTAGGACACATGCAGCCTTGGTAACCATCCTGGTTCCGCCCCATCTCATCCTGGCTCCACCCACCTCCATCCTGGCTCCGCCCCATCTCATCCTGGCTCCACCCACCTCCATCCTGGTTCCGCCCCATCTCATCCTGGCTCCACCCACCTCCATCCCTGCCTCCATCCTGGCTCTTCCCCATCTCATCCTGGCTCCACCCATTTCCATCCCTGCCTCCATCCTGCCTCCAGCTTCCTGCTCACATGGAATGTTTGCAGTAGCCGAGGCTGGGCCACATCCTGGAGCTCCTCCTAGGTCCTACACGGGGCCGGCAGGAACCCAAGTACTTAGATCATCACCCACTGCTTTCCAGGTGCGTTAGCGAGGGGCTGAATGGGGGCTGTTGTGCCCCTGTGGCATGCTGGTGCCGCAGGCAGAGGCTCGAGCAGCTACAGCACAGCTTTGCGTGATGCGTGCTGGTCCCATCTGTGAAGGCTTGGTGCGTCCCCAGTGTTTGCTCACGTACTGCGGGGAACTCACCCTGCAGCACATGGTCTGTTCCTGCCCTTCAGGATTGTACTCCACAATCCACAATCCTGAAGATGCTTGTGCCGCCCTCGCCTTTGCCCACACCCACAGCTCCATGCCCTCCAGGGAGCAGCCAGGGCCCTGCCGCTTGCCCTGCCCACCGTTTGCCCCAGGAACCCGCCACATCACTGCATCTAGCCGGCTTCTTTATTCAGGGTGGGGATGGGGATGGGAGGGACCGTCAGGGGATCCGTCCAGGCCCGGTGACCCCTAAGGGCCGCCGCCGCTGCCGCTGCCCCCGCTGCCGCTGCCCGCCACCTCCGGGACGGCAGGGTGTGCGCGGCGGATGCGCCGGGCCCTGCGGGCCGCCCTGGGCCGAGTGGGCGCCCACCCCGACACGCCCAGGCAGGGACGGGCGCCCGGGGCCGCCACGGGCACGGCCGGGCCCAGAGCCGAGACACAGAGGGCCGCGCCGTCGGGGAAGGCCTAGGAGAGAAGGGTGGGTGACAGTCGGGGGCGGGGCTGCAGGGCCCGGGGCGGGGCTACAGGGCCGGGGGCGGGGCTGCAGGGCCCGGGGCGGGGCTACAGGGGCGTGGTAAAGGGCGAGTGGGCGGAGCTGCCGGCCCTGGAGGTGGAGGGCGGGGTCCCGGGGTGGTGGGCGGGGTCTAGCGCCCTCGGGCCGGGCCTTGCAGGTGGGCTCTGCCCCCTGCGGGCATGGTGGGCAGTCAGCGCCCTGGACGGAGGGCCTCGGCCTCCTGTCCCGCTCACCTGCCCGTAGGTGGGACAGCCAGCCTCGCAGCTCCTCTTCTCCGGGAGCGGGAGCCACGTGGGGCCGCAGGTGGGGTCCGCCTCGCAGCTCGCGTACCTGAGGACGAGAGGCGGGCTGGACCTGCCTGGATTCCACTCACCCAGGCCGCTCCCCGTGCAGGCCCCGCACCTGGCTACCAAGCTGATCCCTCCAGGCTTCACCCCGCCCTGCCTTCCTCCAGTTCTGCACCCTGAGCCCTGGCACGAGGGTCCTCCTGCCTGCAGACCCATAAGGCCCTTTTCAAAGCTGTCCTGGATCATCCAGAAGCCACACCCACTTCTGCATCCTCCAGGCCCCCCCCCCCCCGCCAGACCCTAAATGTTAACTAAACCTCAACCCTTGCATCCTGGTCTTACTGGAAGTAGGCTAAAATGGCCCTAGCCACACCCCAAAGGCCACACCTCCTCCTGCCCCGGCACTGTCCACCAAGCAGGCCCCTCCCACTCGGTCCAGGCCACATCCATCAGGGGACCACACCTTCTTGGCCCAGACCTCACCCACTCGCGCCCGGGCCCTCCTACCAGGCCTGGCAGAGCTCTGCGCAGAGTGGCAGCGCCTGGTGTACCCCCAGGAGCAGCAGGCGGAAGCGACTGCGGAGGGCATGCCGGAGATGTCCCAGGAAGGACCTGCACCTGGACATGGGGAGAGGCCGAGCCAAACGAGGGGTCAGACTGCAGGGATCCACATGAGGGTCAGGCTGGAGGCGTCAGCACAGAGGGGTCAGGACAGAGGGATCAGACTGCAGGCGTCAGGCCGCAGGGGTCATGCCTTCTGTCTGCAGGGTGTCCTGGCTTCGGGGATTAACCCAGGCTAGGGGACGCAGTTCTCCTCCACTCACCCAGGGCTGGGTGGCCCACAGCCATCGGGGAAGCTAGCCGGGCTCAATGTTCCTGCTGTGTCCGTCTCCAAGGGGCAGCAGGGTCCCAGCAGATGGGAACTCTTGTACGAGCCAGGGTCTTGGATCCTCAGGTAAGGCTGGGGAATTGAAGAAGCTTGGGCATGCCCTGAAGGAGCCAGACCACAACAGTGTGAGCCTTCCAAAGCCAGTGCTTCCCCTCCGTGCGACATGCCATTTCAAGCAATTGTCATCACGTGTCGCAGTCATCACAGATCTAGATACTGCAGCTTTTGCCAGCTACCAGTGGCAAAGGTGGGATTTGAACTCACGCAGTCAGCCTTTGGCTCCCGGCCAGCACCTTCAAGCACTAGCTGCCCCTAAATTAAGAAATCCTACCTTGCCACGGTGGGGATGGGGACCAAGCCAGGGCAAGTCTGGGTGCTTGATCACCTGCCGGATGGCGTCCTTGGAGTGGGCGACTTCCTTCACAAGCCACCAACAGGAACCATGCCAGGGTCAGTTGCAGGGCCTGAGTCGGGGAGCTGGGTCGGGTGTGGCCCCTGTAGGCCATGTCCACTTGAGATAAGAAGCTGGCTGAGGTGGAGTGGGCAGCTGTGGCTGTTCCTGTGTGGGTTTTGCTCTAGCTGCTCCCCCAGGAAACCAATGAGGAGGCTTAGTCAGAGGCCAAGGGGGCTCTTGTTGGGGACCCATCCCGTCCATCCCTCTTCAGGCCCAGCCATCACTACCCCAGCTTGCACCTGATGCAAGTGGCTTCCCGACCCTGCTGGGCCTCAAGGGACCCCTCCAGTTTCTCACAACCAAGAAAATGGCTGCGGGTCTCCTTGTCTTGTCATATTTTTCCCTCTCTCTCTCTCATCTGCCCAGCCCCCTCCTTCCCTCGCTGGCCTCTCTCACGGTCACCTTCTCCCAGTTCTCAATCGGCTTAGGGGCTGCCACCTAGGGCTGGGCCATTGGAACAAAGCTTGGCTGCCAGTAGGGCTTGGGTTCTGTCGCTGGGGTGAGGGGGGTGGTTGGTTCCCCCAACGCCAGGACAGGGTGAAGCTTGGAGGCTGTCAAGATAGGATGACTCTCTCTCCCTCCCACCCACCTCTCAGGAGCCCCCTCACCTGTTCACCGGACGGGGACCTACGGATAGCTGAGACACCTCAGGAATGTGTGCAGGAGTGACAGCTGAAAAGGGCGTGATTTGAGATGAAGGCGGGGCATCCCTTGTCCCCGCCTCCGCTGGGGACTCCAGGCATGTCTTCCTGGGTTGGCCCCTGTGGTAAGCTTGTGGGTTAAGCTGTGTGTGTGTGTGTGTGTGTGTGTGTGTGTGTGTGTGTGTGTGTTTCTGGAAGGACAATGTGCCTTGTGTTGGCTGAGGATCGTGTGCAATGGGACATGCCTTGGGTGGGGAAATCTGTGAGGGTACTTAACATTTGTTGAGTGTGTGTTTGCCAGCCACAAGTGAGTACAGGCGTGTGTCCCCTTGCGTTTGAATGTGTGTAGGGTGACTGTGGGTAGAGCTGCTCCTGTGTGTCTGCTTGCTCTGTGTGTGTGCATGTCTGCCAAGTGTGTGTGTGCGTGTTGTATATTGGCTGTGTGTATCTTTGTAGGGTGTGCCTGTGTGTCTGTGTGAGGTTGTTGCCTGTATGTTCACGATTCTGTGTGTCAAGTGTGCGTGTGTATTTCTTACTTTTTAAAATTGATTAGTCTGTTACTTTGTTATTCATAATTTGGAAGGCAGAGTTGCAGAGACAGAGAGAAAGAGGAAGATCTTCCATCTGCTGGTTCTCTCCCTACATGGCCACAGCAACAGAGCCAGGAACGTCTTCCAGGTCTCCTACATGGATTTGCAGGGACCCCATGACTTGATCCATCCTCCACTGCTTTCCCAGGCACATCAGCAGGAGCTGGATCGGAAGTGGAGCAGCGGGGGCTCCGTCAGGCACCCGCGTGGGATGCTGTGGCACTGCAGGCAGCTACGTAACCATGCTGTGTCGCAGCGCCAGCCCCTGCTTGTGTATTTTTGTAAGGAGCTTGAGTTATTACCACAGATCCATCTCCCTCGTGTGTCAGGGCAGAGCAGGTGTTTTTGTGCTGTTTTATCCTGTCCCGACGTGGTGCACAGTAGGGAGGACCAAGACAGCCTGTCTCCAAGGTTCCTGTGCAGGCACCCAGTGAGGTCAGACACCCCCCGGCCCATCTTGAGCCTGGCCCTGGGAGCTTGCGACTTGTACCTGCCCTTCCAGCAGTCCCACCTCACGCCCTCCTCCAGCCCGGCCCTCGGATTCCAGCACCACGGAGAGCTCCCGCCGCCTGCGGAGTCAGGCCGTGGACAGCGCCCAGGGCGCGCCACTCGTCGCGTGGACACAAGAGACCCGAAACAAAGAGAGGAGGGCTCACGTCCCCGGGCCAATACCCACCCGCACACCGCACCGTCCGGCGGGGGTCGTGCTCGCCCAGCAGACCTGTCCACTACTTCTTGGGCAGCCCAGATCTGCAGTGTCCCCACTGTGCCAAGGTTGGGAGAACTCTGTCCTTTCCCAATCCGGGCAGCACGGTGGGTTTCGCCTGTTGCGTGAACCCTGGAAGTGATATGGGGTGATGGTGGCGGGGGTGGCAGGAAACCTCTTCTGCCTCACCCCTCCCCATTTACCAGCTAATCTCGGCTATTAATACAGCCTG